TTATTGATGTTTTGCTATCACTTTATCAGCGACAATATATTATTATATACGTACGGTAATAATTACCGTATCTTTTTCCACCGAATACCTAATGAAAGATAACAGCGGTGTACGCATTAAATTCATGGTATTCAGTCGTGTGTAATCTTATTGATACACATTATTTATGACACTAAGTAATGGAAAAATCGTATGAAAATGCACGCGGTGCAAATTTGGATTGCCTCCGATCGATTCACGGCTAATGGGTATTCACCCATTAAAATTAAAATCAACCGAAATACATTTTTAGTGTCCATGACTTAATACATAATTAAAACTATAATATTAGAATTTAGGATCATAATAATAGCGAGCGCTGGCGTTTGCCAAATCTCGCTGACAAAACTCGCGCGTGTTCATACTCAACCACACGTGCGGGCATGTACTATTATCGAACATCGTTTGGCTGTTGAAATTTTTCAAAAATTATAAGTATACATTATGTTTTTTAATTGTACATAATATGTTGGAAAATTGGAAACTGTCGCAGAATTCTCTCACAAACGTACATGCTCACGACTGACCTGCTAATTGATTGCTGACCTTTGATTATTTAACACTATATTTATAAGTCTTTAAATAGTTAACCCACGGTTATGCCGTGCTACATAAATCCGAGTAAAGGTTATTATTTGAATATTGACATGCACAAACCTAGAGACACCGAACACGTACTCTAGGCGATTCAATTGAACTCGTCGGATCCCAAACGGCTCCCGTCTATTGTTCGCTTATTCCCAAACGGCTCCCGTCCAAAAAGGTCTAACAAACAGGTAAATTCCTGAACGTCTCCGGTTTTGTACGCCACAAATTCCTTCCCACTTTATACAGACTTAAGGTACGATTTGGCTAGAGTGACCGCGACCGTGTTTCACTGCGTCAATGTTATTATATGTACTGTAATTGTGCTTAACAATATTTTTATTTATACATTTTTTACATTTTTTAAATAGTTTTTTAACGTTAAAAATTGAAAATTTAATATTATACTATACGCTTTTTTTATATAATTTTAATAATTTACATAGTGTACACAAAGAAATTTTTAACCACACCTCTTTTGGGACAGTCCTAAGTCTGTATAAAGTGGGAAGGAATTTGTGGTGTACCAAACCGGAGCCGTTTAGGAAATGATCTGTTCGTTAGACCTTTATGGATGGGAGCTGTTTGGGAATTGACCTTTTTTGTAAAACGGGAGCCGATTAGAGAAACGGGAGCCGAATGGGCTACGACCATTGAACTGCCTAGAAAATTGGAGTATTAAAAAAAAAAACCAATGATCGTTAACAAAATCAAAATAATTATATCATATATTACTTGGCAAATGTTTTCTATTTAAAACGGTGTGTTTGTCTATAAATGATTAAAAAAAAATGTCACAATTCAGAAGAAAATACAAATAATACCAATTGACGGAATACTATTTACGTTGTAATAACGTGTGTTCAGTGATCAGTCATAATTACGCTTCGAGATTACGTGCTAGGTTAGGTTTGGTTCTATTAGGTTTAACACTTATGAATATATTATAATTATTATTACATAGGACGAAATAAAAGTGTAACAAGTGGCCGTCGAACGAGTCTTTCAATCGCTAACGGTCTACCATAATATACGTCCTAAATATAAATAAAATTTTGCGGAACGTCATCAGAAAAAATAATGCTGCGATGCATTCGCATCTCGTCGTCTACCGTATTTTTTGTGCCCATTTCCGTCGTCTCCATTGTGTACACAACTATATACTTTCACGGATTACCCGTGATACCATTGAAACATTGGTGACACTAAGATTTAACGTTTAAATATACATAACGGGGGTGCAGGGGAATGTAGTGTTAAAAAGCAATGATTGTATTATACACCGGAAATATTTTACGTTTAATGAATTATTGATCATAATGACTATATTATAAAAAATTATATGAATATTGAAAAAAATTGTAAACCTGTTCGTCGATTTATTTATGCTCTACTTGTTGATATTGTTATTATTTCGTAGCATTTATTGAAATAACAGATAAGATTTATGTCAAATTTTGATCGTGATTGAGCGTCTCCGACTAGCGGTAATACTTTGACCCCCACTCCACCCCATACGGACGAATCCATAGGCGCAACTACGGGGGTGCTATAGGGTTTTTAACACCCCTGAGTTCAAATGTAGCACTCTTGTTTTTTTTTTCTTCAGATCTATATAATCTATAGTGATTACAGTTGAATACCATTTAATTTTATTTTTAGCAATTTCAGCACCCCCAATATTTGGGCTTTGGTTGTGCCCATGGCCGACAACGCCGTGCCGAGATACGTTCGCGTGCGCGGCTATCACAACGTTACGCGGCCAACGTGCGTGCGCCGGACTCGAACGATCGGTAAACCGTATTCTAAATCCGGGCGACATTTGGACATTAGGACGATGCGCACGTCGGTGGAGTTGTTACCGCAGGGGCAACAGAGGCAGTTGCCTCGGGGCGCAAAATTTTTTGGATGCGCACATAATATATGATAAATTTTATTTATCTATTTAATTATTTTAATTTGCATTCCTGTTGTTGCGAATCGTCGGCAATACGTTAACGAAACGATCGTCAAAACGCTACGCGTGTCGTTCACGGTGAATGTTGATTATTTGCGCAACGAAATACGCTTCCAAAACGGTACACGGTTTCCAGGCGCGCAGAAATCCGTCCGGTCGGAGTGTTTTTTCGAGGAACATTCGGTCTCGTGCGTATACGACACACATACGCAAAACACTGGCGTTGAATAATGCGTGTATCAAATGCACCAACGTAGGCGGACGGACGCGTGTATATTAAACACATACTATGACGTCTAAGAAAACATATAACGCGTAAATAAGACATAACTGTCGAGTAGACAGACAGCTGACGAATAATATTTAAAAAAAAACCGTACGAACGAAATGCCTATAAAATTAGAAATGAATGGGTTACAGCGCGTCAGTAGAGAACGTTACCTACCAGTTTTACCGTCAAGGTCGCCGTATTTGTTACCGTTTCGGTCGGTTGTCGTCAATCTAAGGGATAATATATATAAAAGTGTTGCGTGAGTATTGTCGCCGGCAACGTATATTGCTACAAAACCGTCTTGGACGCGTTACAGAAGCTACGTTCACCTTTATATTACGCCGTAAAAACAATTAACTTTCTTGAGAATCATTTCGGATCTATCATATCTAAATATATACATAAATATAAACACGGTCATAGTTCACCTAGAATTCATTCCCAAGTGTAAACGGACGGAAAACGGAATAAAGGTGCGATTCAAATTTTAACCGCACTGCGAATTTTTTTGGCAGCGTGGTCCTGATATGGATTTCTATGTATGCGATTAACTGTACACCACGTCGGACTGCAGCGAATCATTTCGTGGACAGCAGCCTTCTGTTGAACACCAAGTTTACTTTAAATAGATAGCCTGTTTTGTTTTCTTCTAAATGTCTTTAAACATTTTGAACGCGGGTATACGGCGTATACATATCAGTAGATTTTCGATTTTCGGCGTATAATGCAAAATATTATTTTACGGGTATACGCTTCCAAAATAACTTGAAAACAAAAAAAATAAAATAATTTAATAGTTCATGGGAAAAAATTGTTATGAACCATGCAATTAATTTGAAATATTTAGCTGTTGAAGATTATAGTGTACACTGTGTTTAATGTATTTTGTTAACTGTAGTGAATAACATTGAATAAAATTGTATGGAGTGTGAACATTCAGCCTACGGTTCTTAAATCTGCATCATGCAATTTATAATGCGCTGCAATTTTATATCTTGTGGTGTTATATTTTATAGTCTTACTAGAAGTTATAAAAATGTAGTTACAAAGGATTAATAATATTTTTTCGAACGTATCAAGAGAAAACTACTGTCGAGTGAAGCAAAAAAATTTATTTTAGGATTAATATCCATATTTTTTTTGTGCGTATACCCACAAATATACTTACCAATACACCACTGGTTAAAAGTAATATATATATATATATATAATATAATATTTAAAATATGTAATGTTATTTTACATAGTATTGATTACTAAATACTACATCTGAAAACGTTTAAAATTTTACACTAATTTAAATAACGCATAACGCTAAATTGTTCATAACATTTTAATTTCCAATAACGGTAAACGGAAAATTTTTTAAATATTTAAATTTGTATAACGTTTAAACGATTAAATTGAATAACGTTTAAATTATTTATGGCGTTAAACGCTCAATTGCTTATAACGTTTAAATATCCCATAATGGTAAAAAATATATATTATTTTGATTTAAGCCCTAGTCCATACTTAGTGAAAAATCAAATAAACCTTTTAAAACACAGATAGATGTTAAAAAAGAACTACACAAAAGTTCATTCTAAGTGAATCCGGCATTAGATTAAAAAAACCACAAATATTAAGGATTCACCTGATTTAAATATTACCAAAAATTTTACTTGTAAATTTTGAGCCTGAATTAAAGAAAATATTTGATTTGCCCCCCCCTCCCTAGAAGTAAATCTAAATACGATCCTGATAGAAATGAATAAGCAAATAAATGCATGGCCTGAGGTGTTATTATATTTGTAATGTGCGACTGGCTTCGAATCATCAGGTATGTACAAAATCAATAGAATCGCCACTGAATTTGAAAAAATAAAGGAAGGAATACATTGAGAAAACTGTGTCGATTAACATAAGTTATTTTAATAAGATAGATTATATTTAAAATTATATTTTATTAGAATTAGATGTGTTAAGTAATGTTAAACACTTTATATGGAAAAAAAAATAACTTGAAATCTGCATGGGTGCGGCATTTTGACACAATATGAAAAATAAACACGCAATGTACATAAAACGAGGGCGCGACCCAAATCCATCTTATGAGTACGTAAGTCATATTGAGCCTAATAAGAAATGATTATCAAAGCGATGTGAGCCCGTTAGGGCCTGTAAAAATTGCCGATGCGGACAGTGTTTCATGTCCACATGGCGGGGTATTGGTTAAAGTTTTCAACTAGCAATAATCGCACCTCGGATGGACCTCATCGGTTACGATATCGCCACTGCGCAAAGCTGAAGATGGTGGAGTCGGATACCTGTATATGTGGGGTGCGCGGCCCGACGGGGTTGAGCCGAAGCGTCGCGCGATGGGTACGGCGATTCGGGATTCTCGCACGTCCCATCCGATCGCCTGGTGGACGGCGCACCGGGAACCGGACGGACGGTCCGTTCGCCGGCCGCCATCGCTTCCGGCCGCGCGAAAACCAAGCTCGCGGCCAGCGTGACGCGCGTCGCCGACGGTCGCCGTAAACCGTGTCCTCGTGTCACGACATCTAGCGGCACGGGTCGCATTCGTACCGTCGACGTCGATCGCTGCGCTACCGCCGTCGCCGCCACCGTCGATCCGATCCGCAAAGGTTATCTAGTATCACGCGCGTGTTATCAATGTTTATATATTTTCTCATCTTTTTATTCTCACGGCGGTGTGCACTAAACACTGTTATCGTTCGTACGTTTGCGTGTACTTCTCACACACACACCGTTTTTCAGGGGGAAAGAAATATTGGCGATGAATTTTCTTTCGTCGGTTTTTATTTTTACGCGATAACCAACGAGATTGGCGCCACCGGAACCCATGGCGTTGCCACGCGGCACTCCGTTAAACGGTTGAATCACGCGGAGGCCGCGATGAACGGACACACGGACCAAACGCCTCGTACGCCGCAAAATAAGCCGGACGATGCTCAGAACAAACCAAGAACAATTTCATTTTTTTATTTTTTTTTTTTTTATTCAGATTCAGTAATTCGTAACGAATATTAATTAAAACAGGTGTAATACATTTGTATGTTGTAGTATACTCATGGTTCATTGATAGAACAGTACATTTGTTAGTCAACAAATTACATCGTGATCCCTTTCCAATTGCGACCCGGGGTTGTAGCCACATTGATCCAGCCCTGATAACAATGTATCGTCGTTACATTTGTACACGCATACGTAGTACCATTGATTATAAAATAAATAGATGGGACCATGGTATAGGGAAAATCGGGGACTAAAATTATGATATTAAAAGTTCCCGAGAGATAGCGTTGTCCGAATGAATAAATATTTTTTTCTTCAAATTACATTTTATTATTTTTGTTATCATCATTTGTTCGTCGATTATGATCGATCGTAACGGTTTTCCGGCATTGAAGCCTATTTATACTTGCACATCGTGGTAGCAATTACACGATTTTCAGTAAACAAATATTGTAATCTGTGATATTTCAATATAGATATATTGGTTAATTGACTTATTATCGAAATTACCGCACAACAAAATATTCGTATACAAAAAAATATTCTATTCTAAACGCTATAATTTATAATATACAGCTACTCGCAGGGACAGCACGAGGGGAGGGCAATAGGGGCAATTGCTCAGGGCCCCCCGTTTCTGATTTAACTGAACTTAAAATATTTTATTAATAGAAATTATAAGACTCAACATTTATTTTGCCCAGGGCCTCGCCAACTTTAGCACCGTCAATGGCTACTCGAACACTGGTTAACAACTATACAAGTATTATTAACAGGCTGTAGCTATACGTAACTTAAATTTAATTAATTCATTTATAATAATAAACATATTTATATATAAATATTTAGTTATTTGATTAAGGATATAGTGTTAAAAAAAAAAAAGAAAAGATTATATGTATTTAATATTTTATAATATTATTGTATAATATACATTTATATAAATTTTTGGATAACTAAATGTAAAAGTTGATTACTGACTCGGCAAAATTTAAAATTGCATTTGTCAGGTAGGAATAAGTTTAAGCCCCCTATCCCTAAAACATCATGATGAATTAAGTTTTATAATAAAATTATTTATTAATATATATATGTGTGTTTGTGTGTGTGTGTATGTGTGTGTAAGTATATACGACTATATAAACGTTATATAACGTTTGTACCAAAATAAATAATAATTAATAATGACAGTGTATAACGATGAAATAAAATAAAATTGTTGTTATTCTGATAATGTCGACGTGTCCAAACATACAATTTATTTTTAGTAATTATTAAAATCCGACCGATAAAGTATTGTTTGATTTTTGGTTGTTCGTTCGACGTGCACAACGACATCGGTGAACCAAAACAGATATTTTATCGGATCGGAACTAGTGTGCAGGTTGAAGCGCCACACTACGTCACCACCGTTTTTATAATTTTTAAAATTACAAATCTTACTAACAAAACATAAGTTAGCACTTAAAATGAATATACCATAGTATTTCTCAATACATCAAAATTACAAATAATAAACTGTTTTACAATCTTTCTCAGGAAATACTGAAACGCTTATTATAAACTTCTTGTTTGCTACTCACCAATCGGAGCATATGTATTTTGTTGTCTTTAATAAACAATAAAGATGATTGGAAAGGAAAATTGCTGGTGTAAATAAATAAAAAGTACTAATTCATAAGTAAATTCATAAAAAAATGGACTATTTTCTGAACCATTTAATAATTTTAAAGTGCTTTAATTAGTTGAGCTTTGATCGCACACAATCATTTTGGGACACATTCCAACTTCAAATAATTTTTTAAGAAAATAAATTACTAAACTTTTTAGAACAGTTTTGTTAACTCCAAAATGAGCAAGAAAATGTGCAATTGGAAATTTCCATAGTGAATAAATACCATGAGCCATAAATACTAAGACACAATTAGCACTTTTATTGGTCCTGCCATAATGACCTAAGTCTTCAAATCCTTCAATGAAATCAAATTATTTGGAATATTCTAAAAATTATTTTATATACATCTCATCAAAACAAACGGTGCATGCTTTTTCTTTATAATCGACTAATTCAAATTTTTTTTTAGATGACTAAAAAATAATTTACTGAAACCCAGTAAGAATTTTGATTGACCAATCCAACGACGGATAGTTGATGGCCCTAGTAAATTAACTTTTTGAGAACGTAAAAATGTATATGCTATTGGCGATTTATAATATAAGTTTAATGCTAGATTTCTTTCATTTAATATCCATGGACGACGTATATATTTTAGTTGCATTGTCACCATTGCCTTAGAATTTATTGATGAAATTATGGATATTTATTGAGTTTTTTTAAATTATTATGAATGTTAAAACTACTTTTTTTATTTTTTAATTTTGAAATGTGTGTTATTTTATTATGAATTATTTTGTTTTTTAATTTCAATTTTTGTTTTAAATTTAATTTTCTATGTGTATCTATCTCGATATAATCATATTTCTTATTAAATTTGTGGTAGGTATTTGAATTAAATTTGTTATTTGAAATTTTTGTAGAGTAGAAATCAATGAAGAGGAGCTCGGAAAAACTAATTCAACCATGTCTGATTTTGAGCGTGTATATGATTTAGTAGAAGTAGACATGGCAATATATTCCTGTTCAGATTTATTATTTTGGTCAAGGCTAGATGAAGTAGATGGTTGTTCTTTAGATTGATATTTATATGGAATAGCAGTGATTATTGATCGATTTTTATTTAACAAATTTGTGAAGCTCTAAGGTGAGAAATGTTCTTGACGAATGTACCTATTGTAGATTTTTTCGTGTTTAATATCAAACAAAAATATGTTTCCTGCAAGTATAATTCAAATATTTTTGTTTAAAAATAATCACTCAGATTATTGAAACATAATGGTGGGTGATGGCATGTCCCCATAAATAATAAAATACTATAATATAAATACTATAATATAATTTTGAAAAAATTTGAAAGAAAAATCAAAATAAAATATGGAACTAGGTATATTATAACTATTATTACTAATATTGAACTAGGTACATTATATTTTATTTCAAAATTATAGAATTATGTATATAAAATATTATTAAATAAATAAATGTTAATTCACAGTCTGTTAAGACTAAAAAAGGGTGTTTTAAACATATTATGTAGTGTGGTATTTAAAAAGTATTTACCCGAATTTATAATCCAAATTTCCCTCCTAGAATCTTTCGGAAAACGATACATTTTCAAATGTGGAAATAGATTTTTAGATTTACTACAGTTGAAATATTGACATTTGCTACCTGTCATTTTAATTAATTTTTAATTTGTGACTTTACATAATACAAATGTAAAATACACGATGTATAAAATATTGAAAATCAGTTAACAATATAATATTAATCAACAGTATCGTGAGTATCGTGATTCCATCGATATTAATATAAGCCAGGGATGGCAAACTTTTTGAACACTGCGTGCCCAAAATTACCATTTTTTTTTTTTTTTTATTGCTTTGTTAATTATTTATATTATATTATATTATAGGTCCTATTAAATATTATATATTATATAATATATAATAGTAAATCTTTTTGCGTGCCATGCATTTGCCATCCCTGATATAAGCAATATAAACAATGGTATCACAATTTCCCATTTCATGTGAACAAATATTCTATTATTAGAACGACAGCGACCCCTGAACCTCTCATCAATCTATGATAGAGGTACCACCTTTGCGTCATAATCTACACTAGCGCTTCATAACGGTCGCGTCACAAAAGTGGTAGTCAATTTATATCATTGCATGGGTTATCTATCTATTCTATAATCAATGGTAGTAGCGAATTTCGTCATCAACACTGGGTTTCTATGTACCTTTTGGGCCAAGATACAAACTCGATCACCGACAATACTGTTTACGAGCAAAATTAAAACCCAATATATTCCTCTACAGTTAAATTTATATTAAACTAATTACATAAATTTACGACGATAAAAAAGGTTTTTTTATCCAAAATATATACTTTAAATTTTTAAATTATATCAAAAACTATTGCACATATAAAAGCATACAAAAGCATATGTGAGATCATAATAAAATAAGTTTATTGTACTCATTTTTTTATTATTTCGCCACACACGGCTAACTCTCACCTCAATATTATCATTTATACGTGGACAACGATCTTGTCGCCGAATTACAATATTATTTACAGAGCACCGCACGCATACCAACACCGAATAATAATCTAATTTGTGACCTATACTACTGCTAT